GAGTATAGAGTTAATTTAAAAACCTCATCTCTGCCCTCACAATTGCTCCTGCAACTTTTATATTTTACAAAAAGTAACTGATGAAGCTGAAGGTAAATAGCAAAATGTGGCAACATCAAATCCTACATTTGATCCTTATGGAAATAAGAATCTAAAATAAAAACTTAGCAATGCTTATTTTAGTTATTAACTCTGTGTAAGATGTTACCAAATATATTTAATTGTTGGATTCTGTGCCAGTGTTCTACCAATGACTCCAAATATCTATTGAATTTAAATGTTGGGTGAAATGCAGAAAATTTAAGAAAGTATGGTTTCCTTATTTATCTTTTTTCTATAGTTACCTTTATGATCAACTTATGTAATAACAATTAAAATGCTTGGCACTTCCTGAATTTCAGGGAATGTTGCTGCAGTATCTTTACACTTTGAATGATATTTGATTAACTCTGTTCTGGTTGTCATGCATCCTTTTCAGTAAAACAATTCTATTTTGTGCCTCTGTAAAATATGCCTATGATGGAAATCTGTTTCATTAATATTCTACATAAAATATATATAAGATCTATGTAACCTTGGAGTTCTGGGTGCAAGTGACTGTGACTCACTACAATCTGCTAAATTTAGAAATAATAGAGTAATTGCTGGATATTCTGCCATTGTGCCTCTTGGGTGAGTTTGGATGATTAAGAATCTCCACTGAGATTTTTCTATCATATCCTTCAGACTTTTTAAACAAAATGCTAAAGGTCTATTTGAATTGGATTAGTATATTTAAGAAGTCCAGATTAATAAATCCTGATTTGATATATTGATCTTTTTTGACATAACTTTCATTATACTAGACTATAAATATCAAGAAAGAAAATATAAAACTTAGAAACCAATGTGCATTCTGAAAAAGTTTAGAGGACTAGATTTATCATTACATAAATACATGAATAAATATTATTTCAATATTTTTAAAACTCCAAGGTGATTCTATTTTCCATTTCATTTTAAAATGGTTGTTTTCTTAACTCTGATCTTAGCCCCCACATCCATTAAGCCACATGTAACCTCTCACCCAAAGACAAGTAATTATACAATAGGAATTCTGCATTCTAGCTTAGCTTATTCATCACAGACTGAAACTGTAGTCCATTCCAGGATACTTAATTATTGGTTTAAGTAAAAACCAGTTTTTCAAGATATGTCACTCCATATCCCCACGATGGTTGTAATGAAAATGGTTGTGCTTTGTTCTTTCTGAACACCAGCTTATTTACAAATTTTATCCCATCCCCAAAACAAAAGTTACATCCAGGTATGTTTTCTTTTATTAATCAATTTGAGAGCTATCAGGTTCTAAGAAATCTCTGTATCATCTAGGTAACAAGTGTGATTATTTAGCCTAGAATAATCTTGAAACCGACTAAGGTATTTCATAGTCCCAGTTGGGCTCTCTGCAAATTTATAAACTTTATGTTTTGGAATTCTCTGTTGACTCCAATGTTTGTTTGTTTGTTATCTGTTTGTTTAAGTATTCTTCCTTACAGTCATGTTAACATACACTCCTCCTCCTATTCTTAAGCCAGCAGAAAATATACTGGTAGTCCTTGACTTACAATCACAACTGGGACCTGAACTTCCTTTGCTAAATGATGTGGTTGTTAAGTAACTTGCATCAGATTTTGTGATTGTTAAATGATTCACACAGACATTAAGCAAATCTTACCCTATTAATTTTGCTTGTCAAAAGGTTGCAAACGGCAGTCATGTGACCCTGGGATGCTGCAACAGTTGTAAATATATGCTGATTGCAAAGTACCTGAATTTTGATCACATGACCATGAAGATGTTGTGATGATCATAAGTGCAAGGGCCAATCATGAGTCACTTTTTTAAATACTATTGTAACTCTGAACAGTTGTTAAATGAATAATCATAAGTGAAGAACTACCTTTACCAACATAATTTGCATTGCTGTTACAGCCGAATTTTCACCTTCCTCTGAGTCTGTCTGTATTGATTTCTTGTGGAACAACTTAAGAAAAGTAATTGGTGGTTTTCCCAGCCTTCATTTCCTTTCCCATCCAACATATTCACCCAGTTGGAAAAGCAGTTATCAGTTGTTCTCCTTAATAGTAGGAAGGCATTGGGAACTGTGGGTAAATGCCTGGTTTGAGAGTTTAGCCGCATTTCAAAATGTTTGACAGACAGATAACTAACATGAAGATATTCAACCATTAGCCTGTCACTCAAGTTAGTTCTGAACACAGGTCTACCCATTTTCTAAAAGAAGAAATACATTACCTGAAAACTGATACCTTAAAACAGACATGTCAAACACAAGGCCCGGGGGCCAGATGTGGCCCGCGAAGTGGTTTCATGTGGCCTGCAAAGCCATCCTGGAAACAGTGAGGGAACGGCCCCCGCTGCCTTGGCCCTGGCCCAGGCTGGCCGGGAGCCAATGTACAATTTTGTGGTGGCCATCTATGCTGAAACGCATTCAGTCTTAGCTCTACAAGGCCGTCTGGAAACAGCAAGGAACCAGCCCCTGCCGCGTCGGCCCCACCCCCTGGGTGCATGCTGGGGAGGTGTCACCCTTTGTGAGGAATGAAGAAATGCACCATCGCCTGGAAGTGGCCAGCAAATGGCCCTCACCTACTTCACATATCCGGCTTGATGGGCTCTGGGGGAGGGGTTTCAGCAGGCAGCAGGGCGCTCTCCTCACAGCGCCAAGAGCTGAGCTGGGTGGCACGAATCTGATGAGAAGTGCAATGCTGCCTAGCCCCCAGCCTGCCCAGTTTCAGCAGGCAGCAAGGTGCAAAGCTGGCGAGCTTCGCACCGCCTGGCTCAACCTCTTGGCGTGGAAAGTGCCCCACTGCCTGCCAAAACCGGGCAGGCTGGGGGCTGGGCGGCATCACGCTTCTTTTCAGATTCACACCGTCTGGCTCAGCCTCTCGGCGCTGTGTGCCTCACTGCCTGCCGAAAACGGGCAGGCTGGGGGCTGGATAGCATTGCGCAGGTAACGTCGACTCTCACGTTGCTCGTGGCATCCCCTCCCCCAGAGCCCACCAAGCCAGATATGTGAAGTAGGTGAGGGCCATGTGCTGGCCACTTCCAGGCGATGGTGCATTTCTTCATTCCTCACAAAGAGTGACACCTCCCCAGCTGCATTTCTTGCCTGTTTTTCTCCCTCCCTCATCTCAAATATTTTCCTACCACTCTGTACTTAGGAAGGAAGGAAAGAAGGAAGGAAAGAAAGAGAGGGAGGGTCTGAGGGAAGTCCTGCCTTAGTCCTACACTGCTGCCCATTCACCATCCCCTTGCCCCCTCCTCCTGACCTATCCTGGGGGTCTCCCATCCTATTGCTAAGGAAGCTTTGGATACAAAGCCGGGTCTCCTCCCATGGAGAGGGAATGGGCCTCCCTCTGACTTTGCCCTCGTACCCATCATGAGCAACCTGGGTAAGGCGAGCAAGCACAGCAGCAGCAGCAGCCTTGAGGAGGAGGTAAGTGCAGCTGGGTGCCCCCTTGGGGAAGTGGGGCCAGGCTGGACATTTGACCTCTGCTGTCCAGGGCTCCCGGCAGCCCGCACCACCATCTAGCCCCCTCCCCCCACATGGCCTGAGAGGAACAGTGAGGCTCCTCCACTGGACCATGCCTTGGTACTTGCCCTGGTCCCACCCCTTCTGCCAGAAACCCTCAGATCTGTCCCACTCCTGCCCAGGCCCCCACAGGCACCCTTGACGCGAATGCCCACCCAGTAGGCCACACCCACTCCATCCATGCCCACCCAGTGGGCTGTACCCACCCTGGCCACACACACACACTCGAGGGCAACCGCAATGCTGATACGGCCCTCAATGAAATTGAGTTTGACACCCCTGCCTTAAAAGGAATGTAAAGTGCTCCCATGGTGGATTGAGACTGAGGCAGTCTACGTTATAACAAGATCTTTAAAAATGAGAGTAATTATCTCATACATGCATGCCAATGCATTCATTCTCATAGATTCCAAAGAAAGCACGGGTACAAAGAGAAATTCTGCTGAATCATGTCAAATTAGCAAACTGCTCATCAGTTTAGTGATGCCATAAGGAAGCAGTAACCTTCCCTGGAATTTATCCACAGCACTTACGTTACTGTAGTACAGAAGTCCCCAACCTTTTGGGCATCAGGGACTGGTCCACGGAAAAAGGTTTTTCCACGGGCTGGAGAGTGTGTGGTTTTATGTGCTGCCTGCATCCCACGGATGGGGGTTTCTTGTTTGTGCGGACCGGTTGCTGGCATGCCGTGGCCCAGTACTGGTCCACGGACTGGGGGTTGGGGACCCCTTCTGTGGCATATTGTTTACCCACAGAGGTTTGCTACCTTTAGATTTGGAAGTTCCATTTTGCCCTCCAGAAACCGATGAAACCGGCTGAATATAGTCCTGTCTTTAAAAGTAATCAGAAAGGAACATAAACTAACCTTTTCAGCCTAGCAGACAACCCAAAGTATGCAAGTAATTACTGCACCCATTTTTCTTTCTTTCTTTTCTTTCTCTAAATAAGAAGAATCAGTGACGTTTTGAAATGTGCAAATTGCTTTGCAGAACCCCAGTTTGAAGCCTTCCAAGTGTGTTGAACCACAACTTGCAACTTCCACCGGGTATTCTTTTGGAGGTAGAAAAGCTCAAGAGTTTATGTAGTGCAACCCACCTAGAGAGCGCATCCCCCATTATTGAGTAAGCTACCTAGGAACAATGAGGGGGAAGGTCCGAATGTATCTGGGATGGAATATGTTCATTTGGCTACCTTTGAAAATCGCCCAAGCAAAAGCCCCGCGGGCAAATGACAACTCCTTTGCCGACATGAACCAACACAAAGTTGTGTGAGTGGAGCGCAGCAAAGGAAGGGGGGAGGAGACGATCGCCTCGCCCCCACTAAGTCGCTGCCCGAGTGCCCCGCCTGCGCCTGGCCCCGCCTGCTCTGCTCCTCCCCTCCGTCCCTTTCGCGGCCGCGCGTGCCTCGGTCTGTCTGCGCCTGGCGTCGGGGGAGAGAAACCATGGCGTCCAACGAAGAGGACGGCAGCGCCGGCAACGGGTCGATGGAAGAGAAGGAGAATGGCAAAAAGATGCTTCGGCCTCGCAGCGCCGTGACCACAGCCTGGCTGATCTTCTACAACATCACCATGACGGCCGGGTGAGCCGGGTGTTGCAGGTGGAGCCGGCGGTGGGGCGAAAACGGAACTTTTCCTTCTCCCCGTCCCAGGACGAAAGGCTTCCTCTCTGAACCTCCGGCCGGGCTGTACCTGCTGGGCACTGTGGCGAGGGGAGAAAGGGGCGGCATTGGCGGGGCAGCGCGCGGCGACTGGGGGATAAGCCCTGGCTTGCTTGCATTGCCTAATACGGTGCAGGCTTCCAGCAAGACGAGCACGTCATCCCTCGAGCCCGCCGGAGAGGTTAAGTATAGCCCGAGCCCGGAATGCCGGCCGGGGGTTGTGGAATGGGGCAGACTGCTTCCCTCGGCATAATTTATTGCGGTGGCCGCCGAAGACAAGAGCGTGTTCAGTCAGCGCTCAATCCCCTCCCGCTGACTTGAGCCGGCTTCCTTCGATAGCACCTGCCCCGGCCAGATGGCCGCGGTAACCCGAGCCAGATCAGGGAGCATTAACCCCAAACTTTCTGGGCGACAAGAGGATTAGTGGGAACCTCCTTAAAGGAGAACTTCTAACTTGTAATATTGTTTGGTCCACCTTAGTCCGTTGCATTGCTTTAGATGGGTTTAAAACGAAACGTGCACAGTGGTTCTATTGACCTCCATGGTTTTATTTGATCATTGCATATTGAATAAACCATAATTAGCTAGGTGCATACATTACATTACTGATCTGATTTGTACTTTCTGAACATACCTTCTGAATGTTAAATTAAGAGATGTTCGTTCTTCCATAATAGATGTAAATGACAATAGAATGTTTTCCCAAAGAGTAGGCATGCTGCCCTTTTCATCTGCTTTTGCCTGAGCATATTTTATTATTTCAAATTATTAAAAAGATTGAAAAAGAACCCCATGCTGCCAAAACCTTTTTTTCTTTTTGCATGCTTCATGGTCTTCAAACATGTCAGCCCAAAACCAAGAATGGCAGGGGTCATAATTCTTCCAAGCTCTTTATTGTTTCACACTTAGAAATAAACTCTTGCCAGACTGAGGACTCCTGAGGACCCACCTGCAGCTACAGTATATTCTGTATCCCTCTGTTAGCGAGGGCTGTCTTCACTCTCTACTTCTCACATATACTGTAGTATATACACAAAAACACATATACTGTAGTATCTGGACTGAGTTGCCTCTTACTCTTCTGGAATTCAACACACCACTTCCTCATGGGAACCCACTCCTTACTACATTCCATCACAAACATTAGTGAATCCCCCTTTGTGATTTATGATTCTGTTCCTATGTAGCCACTTGTGTACTTTTAACCCCTAAATTTCATCTATGAGATCACTAGGAATCTCGCTTGATTCATTTTATTTATTTGTATCCTGCCTTTATTATTTTTAGAAATAACTCAAAGCAGTGAACATATCCAACATACCTTCTTCCTCCTATTTTCCCCACACAGCAACCCTGTGAGGTGGGTTGAGCTGACTGGTCCATGACTGGCTTTCATGGCTAAGGCAGGACTTGAATTTATGGTCTTCCACTTTCTAACCTGGTGCTTAACAACTAGACCAAACGGATTGACAGATGTGTCTTTCTACTATGCATAAATTGTTTATATTTACTATTTATATGCAGTCAAATATTCTTATTCCGCAAACAGTAATTAAAGCAATCCATAACTTGGTGTAGGACCTTATTCTGTGTCTCAAGTTATTATAAGGTTATGTATAATATAATGTCTTGTGTATTCAGTAACATTCCACATGAACACTTTGGTTTCAGATTCAGTTTATTGCAATTGACAATCGTACACCTCAGTTGGACATGTTATGACGAGCTTCTATTCCTGGTTAATAAGATACGTTTAAAAAGCTTTCAGACCTCACTACCTACCTAGATGGGGCTTAAGATTTATTTTATTTGTTTACTCAATCAAATTTATCTGGAGATGGTCTAACTGTGAAGTCTGTGTAATTGTTACTTGATAGCACGTAGTCAATTATAACCAATCCAAATTGGACTTTTTTGTATTTATTAAGTTTTTACTAAGGTTTATGAAAGCTTTTTTAAAAACACAGAGAGCTTGAAATGTATGGAATGAGATAACAGACAAAATTTTCTTCCTTATACTGTATAGCAATAGTCACAAAGATTATTTCACTATCTAAAGTAGAACTTAGCTTCTTTTCTCCCCGTGCTGGGGAGAGCAGTAATAATAATAATAATAATAGTAGTAAAGTTGGAAGAGACCTTGAAGGTCATCTAGTCCAACCCCCTGCTCAGGCAGGAAACCCTGGCCTATACCATTTCGGACAAATGGCTGTCCAGTCTCTTCTTAAAAACTTCCAGTGTTGGAGCATTCACCGCTTCTGAAGGCAGGTTGTTCCACTGGTTAATTGTTCTCACTGTCAGGAAGTGTATGCTTCATCTCTTGAATTACACCTCCTGCCCTCTCTTTGACTCAGAAAATTGCTTTAAAGAGACTTGTGGCTATCAATTTTTGTTTGTGTATCTTCCTTCATTTTGCTGCATTATGATTTTGGAATCATAATTGAATGCTTTGTGTAGAAAATAAAAAACGTTCTCCTAATTTGCTGCATATTAATGTACCTATCTAGTAAGGAACCAGTTTATCTTAATGGAATAATTAGCTCCAGAAATTTGCGTGGTGGCCTCTGTTACATTTTTGTAATGGGCAGTTAAAACTCAGCTGTTCTGTATAGCTGTTGAAAAACATAAAAATCACTCTTGTTACCCGGGCTTCAGTTTGTTCATGATTTATGGATTTTGCATAGCTGTAAATTACCAGAAATTAGTGGTACAAAATGTGTAAATAAAAGAAATAAAATAAATTCAGTTGGAGCATGAATAATAGATGAGATTAGAGAAAGGAATTGTCTGAAATATTGTTGTCTTGCTGCAGAGTAAACTTGCTCTTCATTCTTTCCAGTACTTTAGAATTTCTATCTGTGCAAAAACACTTTCACTTAGTTATAAATACAAAACACAGATGAATGACAGTGTCTAAGAAATGATGACTTATACATAACTGATATGGAACAACATGAAAATACTTTAACCGTTCATTATTCCAATAAGGATATTGTTTTTTCTGTTTAGGTGGCTTGTACTGGCTATTGCCATGGCCCGGTTCTATATGGACAAAGGAACATACAAAGGCTTATATAAAAGCATTCAAAAGACACTTAAATTTTTCCAGACTTTTGCTTTGCTTGAGGTAAGTTTTTAATAAATATATCTTATTTGAAAGGAGAATGTAAATCTGGACAAAAAGTAGTTAGCAGCCTAAACTAATTGTTGCCAGATGCTGTTGGGCCATTAGTGAGATCAGAAAGTACTTACGGATTTATTCTGAGGTGTCAGCTGTAGCTTTCAGGGTGCCCTTTCCAAATTGTTTCGTGACACTTTATTAAGTGTTCAGTTGTGACAAAAAAGAGTTAGAGTCAGAGTTGATAGTTACTTTCCTAGAATGCCTCTTTGGGATTCTGTGGGAAATTAAAATGATGGTTTCAAGACCAAGACCTTTTTTAAAATGAAGAGCCCCAGAAATTTCTAGAAGTTACTAGAGCTATATTTAATGAACTAGCGCTTTCAGGTAAGAGCTGTACTCACCTGTCACTGATAAAATATATGCAACTGCAATAGTTATTTTCTGAGATGTCAAATATAATTATTATAATTCACAGACATCCCACATGGAAGTGCTATGAGAGCACTTCAGCTTACAGACTTTAATGTTGCAAATTTTATGATAACTCTGTGCGCTCATTTAGAACCTCTTCAGGTGACTGCAATGTAATCTAAATTAGTTCATGAGTATATAGGTAGTTCTCAACTAATGACTATAATTGAGTCTGGGATTACCGTTGTAAGCTGTGACCATGCTCAGCTTTACAATATTTTTTGTGGTGGTCATTAAGTAAACATCATGAATGCTAGGTGAACACCACTGTCATTAAATGAGTCTGTTTTCCCCAGAGGGGGTGGTTGCTTATTTTTTGCTGAAACAAATGCCAGAAACGAGCAAAAAACATCAAAAATCATGGTCATGTGACTGAGCAGTGGGTGCAGCTGTCAGCTGGTATTTGAAAACAAGTCATAAGTAATTCTGGGAAGTCTGTCTTAACTTTGAACAATTGCTAATGACTAGTCATTAAGCAAAACTATCACTATTTTAATTTTGTGACGCATCTGAAACATGTTCAGCAATTTCTGAAGGATCAGGAAGATCTGCATTGTTGGGCTTCTCTATTTCCAGATACCCAGCCATCTCTCTTTGTGCTGGCTGTCATCCATTATGATGTCATTCCCTGTCAGTCTGTCTCTGAGCAGTAGCAGTTTAATGTCTGTTTCTGATTTTTTTTTAAAAAGATTCCTTAATATGTTCTCTACTGAGTGCATCTACAATCCATTCACAGTTATTTGCAGTAATATGGGAAAAGTCTGAGAATTTGAATTTGTAATCATAAATGCCCAGTGATATGCACTGATTGGAAGGAAGTTAAGCACATCAAACATTAATGCTTAGTATGTAGTGATTAGGAAATATGGAAACCCAAGCTTAAGTCACAACTCACCCATAGAACCCATTAGGTGTATCTGGGACAATCACTTTCAGCTCAAATTCCTTCCTTGATTTGCTGCTATGGAGATAAACTTAGGGGAAATCCTCAAATGTTATCTTGCAAGATAAGGCAGAATAAAAATGTAATAAATAAATTGAGTTCTTCAAAACAGAATCCTAATCCTAACTATAATCCTTTAAAGCCTCTTTAAATTTAGGTGCTAGAGAAATCATATGTATCAGCCTTCTGTAGCCTGCATTTGAAGCTCAGTTTGCACAATTTCCTAGTTGTCCCAGGTAGATTTTATACTAAGACATGAATAAGAAACATGGCCATCCAAATTCTTTGGAATTCGTCCTATCAGTACAATCAGCATGGCCCTTGGTGAGAATTAGTGAGATATATTGGAAACATCATTCATCTTATGTATCTTGTGGCCATATAATTTCTTCATTTTTGCTATTTTCATGTTTTTTCCAAGATACTAGGTTTCATAATTTTACAGGTCATAGGATTGGTTAATGCCATATAATTATTTGCTCATTTTTTCAACTTGTAATCATGCCTCTCCCCCCCCTCGGGCATTAACAGATATTAATAGAGAAAATGCATACACAATAATAAATGTCATGGCTGAGTTGGGGATGCATGTTAGTCATAACTATGAAAAAGTGAGAGGGAGAGAGAAAAACAAAGCAAGAAATTTTAGATAAGTGACACTATTTTACACCAATAGCACAGGTAAGCCTGTGCCAACACGTATGTTGTTTTATCCAACTGGGGAACATCACAACTCACCTCTTCCAATCCATTTGTATTGCATTATAATTGCCTAACTTGAGCAATTAACTTCAAATCATAAGGAAGATGCCAGGTTGGTTAAAAGTGCCATAACCAGTAATCTGTATATCTAAATTGGATGCATTTTGGCTGAGATAAGAAAAAAGAGAGCCTGCTCTTATTACTTTTATTTTTCATTATTACTGCTGTTTTTAATTAATATTCCTAAAGTAAATTAGGTAACCAGTCTCTTTCTTGCCAGAGTCCTACTCCCAAATAGGCATGTGAACATACTTCTCTGATAATTTCTCCATGGTTACTATATATCTTGTATTTTCCATATTAAAACTCATTCTTAATACAAGATCCATGTACAAATTAAATTAATTATTTCCATGTATATGGGTAAGAAAAACCTCTGAAAAAAATGCAGCTAAGCAGAGATTTTCCAGCCATAGGTCAATTCTGAATACTCATGTTCTAATTCCTTCTGTCTTCCCCTCCTTTCAATTTTACAGATAATCCACTGTGCGGTTGGTGAGTCTCTTTTCAGTTCCTCAGTTAACTAAGCCCACTCTTACTTTATTAGACAACGGTGACCTATTTCTCTTTTTAAGGAGTAGTGCACACTTCTATGCTTGTGACGGGGGTCCAAGTGAGTTCCAGAATCTTCATGGTGTGGTTTGTTACACATAGTATAAAGCAGGTAAGTGTCAAAGTGAACATTGCATCATTCAGTCCACAATATCATGGTTTCACAGAAACAGTTAAACATTTACAGATACATTGACATTTTTAAAACATAAGTTAGCACAGACTCATTGTCAGTAATCTTAAGAAAGACTGAAATGCACAGACCCATAAGGTGAACTGAAAAGGGCCCTAATTATATATGGGTGAAAAGGTTGTAAAAACCATTGAAGTTGGATATACAACTCTTATGCTTTGTACATTCCATATTTAAATTACCAAGAAAAAGTACCAATTCTTGCAATGCATTTTATAAAGTGGAATTGGGTAAAGAGGTTTTTGGGTTTGAGGAGAAATGTTTATTTTTAGGCAGCTGAATTTTTGGATATATATCCTAAGAGTTGCTATGCCTTAAATAGTATTTCTATGCTTTTGACTTGCTGAAAAATAAAAGTAAACGGAAGAATGGAGCCTAGTCCCTCAGTGCCCCATTGATTTCAATTGTATTTACTCTAAGAGTTGTAGCTTCTGTTCTGATATACTACTACAAGAGGATTATCAGTTCATGGTATAGTTATTAATCCAGTCAGTAAATATATTGGATCAAGATTGTAATTCTCAGTTGAAGAAGTTCTCTTTAGATGGACATGGAAATGGCAGTCTTAAATGCATTCATTGGAAGATCATTTCTTACTGCACAAACTGAGAAAAAGTCTGGTTAACTATATTCATGATTGCCTTATATCACTTTGGTTGGATGGGGTGCAGATTCTATTATAATAAGGTAAAAAGTGTTTTATGCTATTTTATAACCTGTTGGATCAATTTTTGCATTTAGGAATTATTAGTAAATTGATTGTGATTACTGTGTGAATGGACCTTAGATTTTAGACTTTTGCTCACATAAAGCTGGTTTGTTTTTGTATACCCCTATGCACTTTGAAACAGTTGGATCTCTCACCAGCAGATGGCAGTTAGTGATTTCCTTATGTGGGAAAGTAAGTAGGACTGGCCTCTTCCCCCTGATTAAAACTCTTACAGTTTTTCTGTTCCTATGCTACTTGAAAGTTTATTTTTATTAGACTAGATAATTGCCTTACACAACCATGGTTTATATATAAATACTTTTTTCAGCAGCAATAGAAGATATCCCATAGTTTCTAAGATATTGGTCAGGTTAGGTTTATGTTTGCCAGAAAGAAAAATGTAAAACACATTGATTCCAGGAGAATACTAGAGCCAATATGGGGGGGGGGGGATATAGGGAACAGTACAAGTACGGTAGTCCTTGACTTAAAATTATAACTGAGCCCCAAACTTCCATTCCTAAGCAAGGCAGTTGTTAAGTGAGTTTTGTCCCATTTTACGACTTTTTTGCCACAGTTATTAAGTAAATCACTGCAGTTGTTAAGTGATTCATTAAGCAAATCTGACTTCCGCCATTGACTTTGCTTGTTGGAAGCTGGCTGGAAAGCTCACAAACGGTGATCACATGACTCCAGGACCGTGCAACTGTTATATGCCAGTTGCCAACTGTCCAAATTTGGATCATGTGACCATGGAGATGTTGTAACATTGATAAGTATGAAGACTAGTCATACAAGAATTCAGGCTTCAAAAGAGCAATTGCTTTGAAAATCTAAATGTGTAGTAATCCCACACTTCCTTTTCTATAGCAATAAGTCAGGATACACAAATTAAAAATATTACTTTAGTATATTATTATAAAACACAAGTAGTAACTTACGTATGGGTACAATGGTATTTATACAGTGTTGACTAGAGATTATTTTAACCCTGCTGATTTAGATAACTTTAAAGAGAAAAAGGTTAAGTAATGTGTTTTCTAAAATGTTAATATTGCATAATAAGCATAAGATTGCTTTTATTTTACATCCAGAGATGAGTTTAGCTTTGATAAACAACTGCAAAATGCTTACATTATTTTATATATAATAAAGGTTTCTATCTTAATATGAAGAGTTTCACAGTATTGTTGCTTATTGTTGTTTCTTCATTTTAGAAAAAAAAGTTAAAAAGCAATTTGATTTCTATCTTATCCCTTCTTTAGGCCATAATCAATTTGCATTTAGCCTCCCCCACTCCCAGAAACCATAGTGTAAGTGCAAATATAACAGTGTTTGTACAGAAGTTAAACAAAAAATATTCCTATTACTTAAATACTTCTAGAGAAAAAAATTGAATGCATTTATTAAGGACACAATTGATATTCTTAAAACTAATATACAATCTTTGTATTTTTGTAGTGCATTCACTGAAAGTGGCCAAAGTCTTATTTTGTCTTAGAAAAACAACAGTTTTGAATCTTTATTTCTCAGATGCCGTTGGAATGTGTATTAGCCTTTGAGCAAGAAGATTTATTACAAAATTCTTCCTATTTCAATGAAAGGAAAATTACTTGTCTATAGTGATTTCAGAAACTAATCAATAGATCTTATTTTGTAAATCTGGGAATTAATTTAATCCGCCATAGATGCGGATGTCATAAAAGAATGGCTAGATCAATATAAGCTATTGAGACAGTGAAATGACTATGGGCTTTTCCCCATCTGCCGAAGAACAATAAAAAAGTTGTTTATTGCAGCAGTGTTAACATTTTATTTTGAAAAGCATGTGCAATAATTTTTAATGTCTGTTCTATCCTTTTTTGGTTCAAGGGTGTTCTGCCAAAGAAATCCCTCAAAATCTGAGCCAATACAACTTCTGTAAAAAATATTTTTGCCAGTTATCTGAATAGTGTCACTTGCACCCCTATGTGTAATTACGATGGAATTCTAAAGAAGTTGCTTCTGAGAAACTATGTATAGTGGCATTCGTTAAGCTACTACTTCCCAGATGTGTAGGATTTCAGTATTCAGAATTCTCCACCTAGCTTAGGCATTTTTGACTGGAGATTCCGAGTGTTGTAATTCCATTATATCTGGAGAGCACCTGGTTGGGGAAGGGTGATAGTTATGTTTATGGGACCAAATAGAAATAATATAGACATAATCTTAAAAAAGGATGTTAGAAACAAAAGAGAATGGTTAGTTTAAAAATGTTACATTATGTATCAGTTCTTTGCTTCTTTTTCTATTTAATAGCAACATACTCACTTAGACTAAAATATAGACAGCATCTCTTTTTGTCCTAAACAATATTGGCTTTGGTGAATTATCTGAGAGTCTGTTGCAATTCTAGGATTCAAGAAAATGTTGGCTCTTTATACTTCCACAGATCCAGAATGAGGAGAGTGTTATTCTTTTTCTGGTTATATGGACTGTGACTGAGATTACTCGATATTCCTTCTACACATTCAATATGCTCAACCATTTGCCATACTTCATAAAATGGGCCAGGTGGAGAATGCCTTGCAGTTTAGTTTCTTATTGTTCTGGGCATGCTTTTCATGCATGCCTAATCAGCAAGGAAGAAATTTGCTATGAGTGTTTTCCATGTATGTGTATAAAGTGATTTGATGTGCTTTAAACACACTGTAAGTTCTTAGAACTGGATTTATTTTAAAAGCAGAATTCTGTAACTTTTTGTTAACTTTCCCTTTGCTAATGCCCTTAATATTTCTAAGGCATGCTTGTGTATGTCTTTTGAAAATTGAATTTATTTTAATTTGCTTATTAGATTTTTATCCTGCATTTATAATTTTTATAAATATCTCCTCCTCCTCTTCTCTTCACAATAACAACCCTGTGAGGTAGGTTAGGCTGAGAGAGAGTAACTGTCCAAGGTCACCCAGCTGCTTTGATCTCTTAACTGGGGACTAGAACTCCACTCTCCTGGTTTTTAGGTCAGCACCTTATTAGCTAGTTAATGTACCATTTAAGGTGTCCTTCATTTTTTGCATATTGCAATGCAAAATGTTACTTATTATAGAATTTGTAAGAGACTTTCTATTCTGCCATTTTGGGGCATTATTTTGCTGGAATGAAATGTAAAAGAAGGTAAAGTAATAGAAATATGTAAAGTACAGTTTCTGGAAAGGCACGTCATATCTAAAAAATTAGAAAGCGATTTATTGGAGAACTTAAATTTCAAATATTCTATTCATATCCAACATGAACTTTACTCCCATGTAATTTCTCCTTCAATAGCTAGTTGTTGCAGCCATGTTGGTTTTCACAGAGTATATGGATTGAAACTGAGGCTCTGGAAATCATGTAATTATAATATGTTGCTTTTTATGACTGTCCGATATAAGTGTTTTTAACTTTGGAGATTCATTCATAATAGTATATTTTGCAAAGGCCTACACAATTAACATTTGGGGAATTTTTTTCTTCTCAAGGTAGATCTAGTTTTTATTTTAACTATAAAATTAATTGAGTTTCATTAAGAGCTTCCAAGCTCAATAGAGATTTGAACTTGGGTTTCTTTAGCAAGATGTGATAATTTTCCTTAAGCTGTGTTCAGTTAAATGTTAATATTGCTGTACATCATTACAATACTACTTAAATGTGCAGCAACTAGCAATACATTATAAACAATGCAAAGTAAAGAATGCCAGTAAATTAGCAATTTAAATTTTCAAACATTTCAATGGAAGAAAAAGAACCTACCACTTTGCTGATTTTTTTTTTTTTTGCACAGATATCCTTTGTTGTAAAAATAAACATTGTTTAGCTGGAAAGTTCCTTCTGAGTGTACAGAATTTAATTTCTAAATCTGATTTATAGGATTGCATACATGTAAAAGCTAAAATAATTTTCATATTATTTTTCAGAAGAAGATAGCACATACAATAGCACCAGAGTGGTTCATTTAAAAAAAAGTCAGCAAATTAGTTCAAATTGTTTGAAAATGCACAATGACAATAATAGTCTTACTAACTGTCAAATCATGGTACTGAGCTCTTCTGAGTGTAAAACAGAAATTTTGCAAGTTGTCCGAATATTATAGAATAAAGACAACAATAATCTAAAATAGAATTGCAAAACTCCATATGATAATTAGTTGGCAGCCATTCTTTTGTGAAATAAAAATGATAGCTCTAAACTGACATTTTCCACGACCTTTTCTAAAGCGAGTGTTCAAAATTCAAAAGACTTTTTGGTTTAAATTCTCAAATTTTGGTTCTGCCATAAAAAAAAACTTTGCATAGGCATGGTTTAACTTACAGTTTATTTATTTGCAGTTGTTTTAGATAAAGTTGCATTAATCAGTTTCTCCTTCAAGGTATTTTTGGGCCTCTTGTTGAATCCCATTCATTGATTCCAGTTGACCTATATATTCTCTAAGTTTATTAAATCTTATAAAGTTTTCAGGTTCTGGGGCTGCTGTTTTAAATCTTAACTATTTTCCTCATTGAATGCCCTTTGTTCAGTTTTTCTAACTGTCTCCTTCCTTTTCCCAGCATGAATTGAAGAAAGATTTTGTTTTATGAAGACTACAGTTGCATGCTGTGTCTTGCATGAAAACTCTTCAAGTATTTTCAAATCCTGTTGAAGGTTTTCAGTGAGTGACTTGACAACAAGTAAATAAGGCAGTGCTTTTCAAAGCAGCCAGTGTCTTTCATTTAAAAAAAAATCATCCTAACATTTCCCAAGATGCTATTCCTTCAGTTGTAAGCTTTTATCTATATAACATCAATAGCTGCCTATGAAATAGCTGTGGGGATTGCTTGACTGCTGTTCCTTATTTCATTTTTAAAACATTCAGCCTAGCATTTTTAATGCCATCCTAAACTATTAGAGCATATCCTCCACGCTTAATTTATGTCATTATAATCTAAGGCCTCAGGTTCTTATAGGAAAACAAGATGAAGAAGGAAAAATAAATAAATTAACAAAAATATTTATAAGCAAATAAGGAAAAAAGATAGCAACAATAACATTTTAGAACATTTTAGATTATGAATATTAATCTTTAAAATCTCTTATTGGTGAGAATAAAAAGTTTTCTACCTGGTATAAAGATTCAGCAGAACCCTTATTGATCTGCTGAATTTATAAAGCCTGAGTAGAAAGCCAGTACATTATATTACAGTATGCCCTTCGATGGGAAGAGAACACAGTTTTATACGTCTAGTCATGCTGGCCACATAACCATGGAAATGTCTTCAGATAATGCTGGCTTCATCTGGTAAGAAATGGAGATGGGTACTGCCCCCTAGAGTCAGGCATGACTAGACAGAGGAAATCTTTATCTTTGCCTTTTCTTTATGCAGTTATATTTCAAGTAGGCAGCGGTCTCTGTAAGTGAAAATGACAGCCTTAGCTGTGTAGTTTCATACCTTTTTATGAGCATCCGCATTTATTTGTTTGTTTGTTTGTTTGTTGTTTGTTTATTGGATTCCTGGGCTGCCCATCTCACTAATACAGTTAACGCTGGGCAATTTACAATATAATAAAAGTTAAGTGCAAAAAAGAATTAAAATAGAATAAAAAGTTTAAAATTAAAAACTAATAGGATGAGAAGCTTGGTGGAAAGAATCTTCCCTGTTTCATCAGCTGCTCCCAATATAGCAAGCCGCTATCCTGATCACAGACCACGTGGCAGAGCCAAATTTCTAGGCGTTTCCAGAAGGTGAGGAGTGTGGGACCGGATCTCATGTCTAATAGGAGAATATTCCAGATGATGAAAACTGCAATAGAAATGATGCTTCTTCTGGACTCCACTAGCTAAAATCCTTTGGCTGATGGGATCCCAAGTAGGTCCTTTCCACTGGAATGAGTGAGGCAGGTTAATCCCAATGGGATAAGACAGCTCCTCACATGCAAGGATGGAACTTTAGTTGATGGTTGCAAGATCCCTCCCCACTGACATCCCTGTGAACAGGTTTTCAGGCAAGCCTTCAAAATAATATGGACCCCTGAAAAAGATATTCAGCTGTTGGCTTGCCCACGAGAACATATAAATATTTTAAAGCAATGTTAAGAACACTATAGTATGCTGGATACAAATATATTTTTCACATGACAAACCATCCTACATGGAACCTATTTCAGATAAGTACACATAGACTTGCAGTTGGTCTTTCTTTTACTGGTTGTGTTACGGCAAAGCAGAAGACAAGTAATTTATCTGCTGTTTCTTCCAGGTACAATTTTTTCATCATCTTATATCCAGTAGGAGTTGTTGGTGAACTTCTAACGATTTATGCAGCATTACCCTATGTGAAGAGATCAGGCATGTTTTCTGTGAGGCTTCCAAACAAATATAATGTGTCTTTTGACTACTACTATTTTCTGCTCATCATCATGGCCTCATATATACCATGTAAGCTTCAATGAATATATGTATGTGTGTGTGTATATATGTGTGTATATGTATATGTGTATATGTATATGTATGTATGTGTGTGTGTATATATATATATATATACACACACATGCATTTTTATTGTATAGTGCTACTTTTTAAGAATGCTATGAATGTTATACTCATTGAGATGAACTATAGCTTAATAATAAAACATGGACCTTAAATGAATTCTGTCATACATTACAACTTCTTAGATATGATATCTAGAATTAAAAAGGATTTTGAATAAAATTGTAGTGGAAAAAATTGTAATGAGCCAGAGATCATGAAGAGCTGCTGTTTACTGGAATAGGCAAAACTGCACTAGATGGGACCACGGTATACTTCAGGTGTTGCAAAACTGAGAATTCCTTCCCAGCATGTCTTAATTTAAATCAGGAAGTTATTATCTTCCCAAAGTGAAAAATTGAAATCACTATCTAGTAAAACACTATCAAGTGCTTTTCATTAAATTATTAATGAATATATTAATTCAAAATTAGTATTTTGAAATAGTAATAAAAGTCTTATCAAAGATTAAAACACAAGCTAAAAGCAATTCTTGGCCTTTCAGAAAGGGATCATTCTAACCAATTTACTAATCCAGGATTCAATTCCATATTGTACCCATTCAATACACTCCAGTTTGATTGCACATTTTATTTTCAACATAGTCTAACTTGTTTTGTTTTTTTGCTTTTTTAGTGTTTCCACAATTGTATTTTCACATGCTACGTCAAAGAAGAAAAGTGCTTCATGGTGAAGTGATTGTAGAAAAGGACGATTAAAACAAACTTTGTAATCATGGTGCTTTTTCAGAGTAACAATCAAATCTTTCATGTTACCAAGTCCAACTTGGAAATTATGGGACAAAATAAAATCAATATAGATCATGATATTTTGTAACATATGCGCTTCCAAGGGCCTATATGAAATTTTAGTCTTATTTTTCAAGCTGTTTAACATGCTTTTGGTCACATATCTCAGCAGAAGTTGAATAAGATGAAATTCCCATTCATCATTTTAAATCATACTTGATTACTGAATTGAGATTATTGCACCTAGCCTATTTGGCTAAGCTTACTTAGGAAATGCAAGTCGTGATTGTGCTCACAAAATCTTTTTACCTGTCCTTGAAGGTAAAGGCAGCTTTGAGTCAAGGTCAACTAATAGTGACAACCTGGAACAAAACTATGTAGTTTTCTTGGCAATACTATGGAAACAGCTTGGCACTGGCTTTCTCAGGATGTTTTTATCTCCCAAGGCTGGGCTACAACCTTGCTGTTTTCCTTGGTGATTGTACACCCACATGCTAACAAGGCATAAGCTTACTTAGCTTTTGTGACAGCCTCTTTCTGTGTTATAAGATGCTGCTTAAAAAGGCCCCTAAGTAATGAAAATGGTTTTCTTTTCTTTGTTAATAACATTGCACTCATAATTTTTTTGTTTCATGCTTAGAGTTTTTTAACCAATCTTAAACTTAACATTCATTAGAATTATTTGCATTGAATATGCATGATTTTTAAAAGCATCACCCTGTAATAATTACAACAGTATAAATAAATAATAGAAATTAAAAATAAACAAAATAGAAATAGAAATACATAATAGAAATTAGTCTTAAATATAAAATAATTCATAATTGGAAGTCGCTAACAAGCAGATAAATGTAATATCTCTGCAATCCAAACCTACTAAACTCCAGAATAATTTTAAAAAGGAACATTTAAGCACACAAGTAATTTTTAAATGACAAAAAAGTATTTTTGTATAAAAAAATTGGATACAAAAATGTATGAAAATATTTTATCCACTAGTTATGGTAGGAAAAACCATGGTAAACTCTGTCAAATTTTGGTTTAGCTTGGTGATGTTTAGTGGTTTTTAATTATTTTAACCCTTCTGGTTAAAGAGCAGAACAGAAGTTAAAGTTGCAGAGCAGCATTCAAAGAAACAAACAAGGGCTGGGTAAAATTTTGGTTTCAATTCCAGATAAATATCTTGGAGCACATGGGAATGTGACTGCCACAGCTGTCTGCAACTCTTTTAAAGCAGCCATATCTTTCTCCAGATCTTGTTTCAGATAACACCACATTTGGTTCTATGCTAGGACCAGATGTACATTTTAAAGAGTTGCAAACAAGCTGCCATTTCCATGTTTCAGAATTTATTTTTCACAATTATTTGTGAAACACTGCCCTAAAAATTAGCTCCATGTGTTCATGAAGTCTTAGAATTTATATTTTGTAGGGAAAAAACGTTATTTGATCAAATAGATTAAAAAATCTGCTAATGGGAAAGTTGTTGATAGGAAATAAAAATCTAATTTTCCCCTCCAAAATAATGTGATATAAGCTATCTAACTTTTTGAATTCTTGTCATTATAGTTTGAATAAAATAGTAAGCTTGAAAAATGAGGTACTGAAAGAAATAATGCTTATAATTTTAGATCAATCTAAAATCTGACTCCAAAGATATTCAAAGCAGAAGTAAGCAATTTTTTGACATACAAAAGTTGCATTTTTAAATTTTATTTTTTCAGTAATGAATAATGATAAAGAGTGGATAACAAGAGAATATATAAAAGAAATGTAGCTGATAATATTTTGCCTATTCATTATCGGGGGAATAGTGCTAAGAATTCCTAATCAGATCCATAACGTTTTTACTTTAAAAACAAATTATTGCTTTTCAGGCTTCCTCTGGACTTCAGAAGTATGATCTGCAGAACTCTATGGGCTATAAAAATAGGGGGAGGAGACATTTGGGGCTCATGGGATTAGGGATTTTTGCTACACGGGGCAGTTACTGGCTAAATCTAAATGATGCTCTTAACTCTTTGGGTCAAGTCCTTATGTGATTTTAAGGAAAAGTTTATTAAAACTACATTTAAAAATTGTTTTCTCTGCTCAGATATTGTGTTTAATTGAAATTTGTTTCTACAATAAGATGATGAAAGGTGCTCTGTTTATCTCATGTTGTAAAAATCTTTAAGATAAAGTACCATGAAAAGCCTTCGGTTATACTTGTATGTAAAGATTTCAAGAGGAATCAGTTGTATCTTTGCAATAACTGCTTGTGTCTTCTTTTAACCATTTCATCTGTTTCACACAAAATATACTGGCAGCTGTTTGAAACAGATTTCTGAATTAGTACAGAGATTTCTGAATTAGTACAGAGAAGAGCAATATGAAAAAAAAGTTTGTTAATGACTGATGTCTTTATTTTCTTCAATGTTTTAACACTTATTACATATATCTTCTTCATGCTGTTAATTCTTTCTGGTCTAACTTGGAATTGCTCCAGGTGCTTTTGGATATAAATATTTGGTTCTAATGTATGCTGTCATTAAACTGGGGATGTCATTCACTAAACAAATGACTATTATAAGGTGTTTTTTTATCATTTTGTACATCCCATTAAATAATACCATTTTTGATTCTCAACACATACAGTACTTGGAGTGAATTTCTGGACATAATTTAAGAACAAAAATATTTTATTCTGGAAATTTCCAATAAATCATTAAATCCACATCCCTATGTTTTAATGATTTTGCTATTCCCAGTTCCCAGAAACACAGACATTGGATTGTTACTTGTTTTATAGGACTAAGATTTAGTGTTGAGTCACACATAACACTAAGTAAAGCAAGTTGAATTCACTTATGGCAAGCTGAAAACAGAATTCACATAACTGTGTAATTCAGCCACAGTCAAAGGATAGACTGATAATTGAATAGAGGGTGATTTTCAAACGTGGCAACTTTAAGATGCATGGACTTCAACTCCCAGAATTCTCCACCATTCTGAATGGAGAATTTTGGGAATTTTAAGTCCATACATTTTAAAAGTTCAAGTTGAGAAACCCTGGAACATAGAAAAGTTAGACTCATGTTTGTTACTAAGGCATTTAAAAAGATGAAATTTCTGATGTAGCTTTTCTTTTTCCTTCAGCCTGACAGTTGTGTTGGAGCATTAAGAATAAAATGCCTTTTGCCCAAGTTTCCTAATCTTTTACAGTAACTCATCAGTTTCATCTTATATTGACTATTATTCACACTGAAAATTTTAAAGATGTTCTATATGATGCTGAGCTCCTGACGTTTTATTCTTTAAGTCATTTTTACAGAGGAACAGAAAATCTGTAGTCAGAGTCCCTTTCTGCAATTTTGGCTACTGGGCTTGGAATTGCAGTATTTATTACTGCTATGTCTGAGAAAAATGGGACTCTCAGGCCTGTTTTGAAAATGGAGTCAAACTACTGTTTTCAAAACCACAGTTGTTCATAATTGAATTTCACAGTTACAGTTGTGGATGCTTAATTGTTGCCATCCTATATGGTATCTTTGGATTTGCAAAACATTCTAATGCTTTTAATGTGTGTCTATAATACATATGGCTGTATGCATATTTTTTCTTACACTTTTACAAATTTTCAATAGCCTTCTAAATAAATCTATCCTGACTTACTCTTTTCATACGGAAAGAATCTATTCATACATTTGAAGTTCCCCAAGAGGCATTTTTACATGCACTGCCAATACTACTGAAAATGTAGGTGGTTTTTTTTAAAAAAAATGGAAACAGCAGAAAAATTGAAATCAAATAATTTCCAAATGTTTACATAGCAAGGCTTTTCAGATGACACTGTACATTTGCCTTTTCAAAATGTATTATTTGTAACCTTGAAGCTGATCAGTGGGATAATTCAGTGAAAAATCTGTTAGTGATGTGGCTGTGCTTAATTTTAATAAGCATTGCTAAAAAGACACAGATCAGCTTATGCAATTAAATATTTTTCAGACAGTCATTGCACAAAAATAAAGTATTTCCATGACAGGAATATTGCACACATTTTGGTACATTAAAAATATGCATTTTCAACATTTGGAAACATTTGGTACAAATAAGCATTATTAGTAACTGTTCATTAACTTGCAATTTATTTGGGGCTTTTGTTTTTCATTCTTCAGTGTATTGAAAGGTGTAAGAAATAGTTATGTATGCTTCACTTGTGCTGAATAATGATTTCCTGCTATACAGGTAGTCCTTGACTTATGATCACAATTAGGACCAGAAGGAGAATGTTACCTGGGTCTCACCCAATTTTATGACATTTTTGCCATAGTTGCGAAGCAAATAAAGTTCCCCTCATTGACTTTACTTGTCAGAAGCCGACTTGGCTGGGAAGGTCAAAATTGATGATCACATAACCCTGGGATACTGCAACCATTATAAGTACATGCCAGTTGCCAAATGCTTGAATTTTGATTACATGAGTGTGAGGATGCTGCCACAGTTATAAGTTACTTTTTTGGTGCTGTTGAAACTTCAAATGGTTGCTAAATGAATGGTTATAAGTCAAAGAATACCTGTAGTAGGTTTAAATGTTGGCTACAATCGTCACACATCTCGCCATTCTCTTGTTCAATCCCGTAACCCAGACTTTTAACTAATCTTTCTGTAAATGTATCTGATTTCATTTCTCGATTCTTTAAGTTTATAAAATAAACATATTTTTCACTTTCCCTTCAGTTATATCAACTAGTCCTCCATTCTTTTGCATGAAGTATTGTTATATATCAGTGATGGCAAATCTTTTAGAGACCGAGTGCCCAAACTGCAACACAAAACCCATTTATTTATCGCCGGGTGCTGGGTGGGCGTGGCCAACTGGGTGGGTGTGGCCACGGTGGTCATGGCTGACTGGGTGGGCATGGCCATAGTGGGTGTGGCCACCTTGATGCTCGGGAGGGACACCTGTGGGGGCCGGGCAGGGTTGGGGGAGATCCAGGGGTCTCTGGCGGGTGGGGTGGTGGGCCGAAGACTCGTCCTGTGGGGCGAGGCAGAGTTGGTGTGCCAATTGCCGTGGGGCAAGGGAAGGCACTCAAATACTTTGGCCACCTAATGTGAAGGAAGGAATCACTGGACAAGGGCCTAATGCTGATAAAAATTGAGGGCAATAGAAGAAGGGGACGACAGAGAATGAGGTGGCTGGATGGAGTCACTGAAGCAGTAGGCGTGAGCTTAAATGGACTCCAGAAGATGGTAGAGGACAGGAAGACCTGGAGGAACGTCCATGGGGTTGCGATGGGTCGGACACGACTTCGCAACTAACAACAACAAAAGGGAAGGGAAGGCAGGGGCCGAAGCAGCTGCTGCCTGACACCATTGGCCCACACACACAGAGGCCAGCGAGCGCATGGGGGCTGACAGTGTCCGTCAGCAGCCACAGCCTGCTGGCTGTCCATCATGGCAGCCCCATCAGCATGGGTGGACTGCAGCCCCATCGATGTGGGCAGAGATGGCCCCGGGATAGCCAGAAAGGAGCCCTCACCTGGTGCAGGCCCTGTCTACATGAGTCTGATGAGGGCGGCAGCTGCTACTCCTGCTGCTCTGCGCCCCTTGACCAGCCAACCACATAGGGAAGCAGGAGGCGACGATGGTGATCCCTGCATCACCAAGCCCGGCTGGCAGCAGATCTGGAAGTAAAGGTGTGCTGCCTATCCTCACGCTGGTGGAGGCAGCAGTGGGGGAAGTGAGCTGTGGCACATGCCCACCCCTCCCCGCTGCCACCCCACATTGTCCCGCACACACTCCTGGAGGCACATGCGGGAGGATGTGGGGCAGCAGCGGCAAAGGGTGGGTGCATTCCAGATCCCGCCTTCTCCCACCCCACCACCCCCACCAGCATGAAGATGGGTGGCACAGCTTCACTTCCGGATCTGCTGCCTGAACCATTGGTCCTCGCACACAGAGGCTAGCAAGTGCGTGGGGGCCGATGGTGTCCGTCAGCAGCCACAGCATGCTGGCTGTCCTGCATAATGGTGAACTGGCCACGGAGCCCCATCAGCATGGGCAGAGATGGCCCTGGGACAGCCGGAAGGAAGCCCTTGCCTGGCCTGGGCCCATCTAATAGATGGCTCTCGATGGGTGGGTTTTGCTGCTGCTCCAAGTGGTCAACCATGCAGGGAAGCAGGAGGAGGTGGAGGGGCAGCCTGGGGTCTGGAGCCGCCTTGGCTGCTCGCTGGCAGCCCAACAAGGCAGTGGATCTCACACACCAGTTGCCCCTCCTGCTTCCCTGCATGGTTGACCGGTCGGAGCAGCAGCAGAAGCAGAGGTCAGTGGTGTTGAGTGGATGGGCCGGGCTTCCTTCCAGCTGTCCTGGGGCCATCTCCACCCGTGCTGGTGGGGCTGCATTGCAGAAGGGAGATGGCTCTGATTCCCCCCTGCCAGTTGACCCCCCCAGCCCCCTGCTCGGTGCCCCTTCTATGCACTCCTATGTGACCGCAGTGTAGATGAGAGGCTCGGCTGGTGGGGGGCAGCTTTCCTCCACGGTGTCCTGATCTTTTCACCACCCCTAGCCAGACCCCCTTGCCTTCCCCAGCTGGGACCTGATGACCCCCACCCTCCTGCACCCACCCCAGCCAACCCCCTGAGCAGCCCAGCCCGACCAAGATGGAGGGAAGGTGAAGCAGAGAACCAGTTGTTAAATGATTTGAAACCCACCATTGCTCACTTCCAAAGGCCACTCACTCACTCTCCCGCCAAAACTGCTCCTTTTATAGGTTCCCTCACCCCACCCAGCTCTCACAGCTGTTCTCGGACTCCGCATGCGTGGAGAGGGGAAGGGGAGGAGCCCAGCCCTGTGTCCCTCTGTCTGTGGCAATGGCGCATGTGCCCACAGGGATGGCTCTGTGGGCCGCCTGTGGCATGTATGCCATAGGTTCGCCACCACGGTTATATATAATTGCCTTTCCTTTCCTTTGTACAGTTGTCTTTTTGTTCATGTTTCTTTTATCCAGCTCCTTGTGTACTGAATGCTTTTAATGGGAAATGCCTTTCCTTCTCTCCTTTTCCTTGTGAACTTTATTTTATACCTGGGTGGCATATCTAGGATAAGAAACACTTTTGAATTCTATTCACATTGTCACCAACTAATGGTTGTATTAGTTGATATGATGGGTATTGAATTCATACTCATGCTGTGTATCAGAAGTCTATTGTTATAAAGTTATTTTCTCAGAGATAAACTCCTCTTAAAAGGTTTCTTAAGAATATTTCAAGATGTGTTTCCTTCCAAAGTGGCTACAGAATGTCTTCTTTTATAATGCGTCTGTTTTCTGTCCTCATATTGAATTTCCAATCTGCATCCACTCATCCAAAAAAGGCAGGATCTCATGTTCTTAAATAAAAACCTGTACGTTGAGTCTGCATATAATATTTATCATTTATTTATTTATATCTCACCTTTATTATTTTTACAAATAAGTCAAGATGATTAACATATACAAAAACCAAGTGAGTTGAAATAGAGTGGCTGGACCTTGCTGGATCTAGGACAACTCACCACAGCCAACTTGCCATGGGACAATTTGCCGTGGGTCAATTCAATGCTGTATTAATCATTTCATTCAGTTACTGTCATTCGTGGTGACCGGTTTTCATTGAAATTATTGTAACTCTTGTATTTCTGGATTGACTTTGTTTTATTATTATTGGCCACAGTTCCATTGAAATTAATTTAACTTTTGTATTTTTGAATTGTCCTGTGGAGAGTTGTCCCATGGCAAGTTGACCATGGCAAATTGACCCATTCCGGCCCAAGCTCATCCGTATATATTGCCTAATAATATGTATTAATAGGTGTGCATATATTAAATGAATCAGGCTACTTACACAATACATGAAAATGAGATTTAGACAAACAATTCTTATTAATGAGTGTATAACTAATATTTTTTTAAAATGTTAAAAGAGATTAAAATGAACAGAAAAAAATAAATGTTAAAAATCACAATTCTTTGAAAATCAATTAAGATTAAGATAACCTCCTATTATTTCTTTCCTACTGATAGGAAGGATTTGCTGCTTATATTGCAAGAAACTTTATGACAATTGCTGCCATGAGTGAGGTGGGAGCCATATGTGATGAATGTTCTACTAGCATGAAGTCTTTGATGCTTTCTGAACTTGGTTGTCGTTGTTTGTTTGTTTTTTGCAAATGTTTCACTATCCAACTAGGTAACAACTTTAGTACATTGAAGATGTTACCTAGATTAATAAAGAAACTTTTGCAAAAAAAATAATAATTAAACTCAGACAGCACCTGGAACTCCATCGTTCAACCCTGAGCTACAGGTACTCTCTTCTAATGCTCTACTAGGGTGCATTACCTCAACTGGACTATGAAGCAAGTAGCAACATAACTTTGGTCTCCAATAGGACTAAAAGGTAAAGGTTTCCATGTCTAGTCATGTCCAACATTAGGGTGCAGTGTGCATCTCCATTTCATGACCAAGAGAGCCAGAGCTATCTGAAGATATTTTCCGTGGTCAGGTGGCTAACATGGCTATGTGCCGAAGGCACATGGAACACTGTTGTCTACCTATTCATCTACTTGCATTTACATGCTTTTTAATTGTTAGGTGGACAGGAGCTGGGGGCAATTATTATTAATAAATTATAAATAATTAGCAATATAATTAGCAATTGGTGATTTGCCAATTGTCTTACACTACTATAATTATGAATATTATATTGGAGTTATAATATTGGAGTTCTAAGATGGCGGCACCTGGATCGGCTACGGCTGCATTGGCTCTCAAAGGTGAAAAGTTTTGGGAAGGATAGAAGGGATATAGGCCGCATGATCAGGGAAGTTTTAATGTGTTTGAGCAACGTGGTGGAACTAAGGTAACATACGACCGACAATCTTTGCTGGTATGGCGAGTTTTTAACTGTTTCGGAACTGTTGGTGAGACCGTTAAAAGTCGTTGGCGCTGTTTGAAATTGTTCTACCGGCAGCAAGATCTGACTGCTGGCCCAGCAACAGATTCTATTGCAAATCAGGGCTGTTTCCGAAGGAGGCGGAGGAGGAGAGGTCCTGGGGCTTATGGAGCAAAAGAACTGGATGAGGCTGTCGACAGGCCCAGAGGAAGGGAGAGAGGCTTTTGGAGGAGTTAGAGGTTGCGGAAGCATGCTCCAGGGGCAAAAAGAAGCAAGACCCCTTTAAGGAAAACATGGAAGAGACAGGATCAGAAAAAGGAAAGGAGGCGAGATTGTCGTGCAGGAATACAAGGTAATTTGAGGGCTAATCCGCATGGAGCTCCATTTCCATCTGTCCTGTTTGCCATTGTTCACTCCCTAGACACTAAAATGGACGATCTGAAACTTGAGCTGGCCACGAACAAGGAGTGTATATCAGAGGTGGTGGCCCTTTGAGAGCTGTATGCAGCGAAATTTCATTTTGATG